CTCGCTTTCTGTCTCTCTGTCTCTGTCTTTCCAGTGAGTGCACACATCCCAAAGCAAAAAATGTCTCTAAAAAACCAAGAACAAGTCTGCATTCAGTTAATACAGTACTTCAGGGGCAGCTTCCTCCAGGACTCACGTGTCCCACAAGCAGGAAGTGAGGAGGGGAGGCGACTGTGATAAACACTGCTGGCACGGACCCCCTAGGCACGCTGGGCAGTACTTTCGGTCAACTCGCTGGTCCCTGAGTCTTGGGGGGGGGCAGGATGTCAGTCATGTAGCCCATGGGGCTTGGGGATAGATGGGAAAAGCCCCCAAAGTTGAGAAGCCACAGCCGATTGTAAGTTTAAGGTCAGATTCATGCAGCAGAGTCCACACTGCACCATGTGGGAATCTGTGAAGACCGAGTGCCACGGGGCCCTTTCATCTCAGCTCCAGACGTTTAGCTCCGGCTCTTGGTCCCCGTCCCCCATGAGCAGTTAAGATGACGATAGCAGAGGCAGCCATCAGATGCCGACAGGCCCGGGATGGAAGTCTCGGGCAGGAAGGACGTGCTCTATGAGGCCGACCCACCTGGGAGGACTCCCTGAGTGCACAGGGGTGCGTGTCCTGATCTGGGATGACGGGACGGGTGGATGGTGACGTGGGGACCCCGTTGGGGATGTCCCCCCGTCTCTCTTGCTTGTAGAAAGATGTATCTTTCTATGTTTTTCTATGAAAAGGAAAATGTCTTGACTTTTCCGATGACCTAATAAATAAACTTAAAAAATAAGTATAAACTCACTGACAGACTCTTTCAAGAGCTTTGAAATGTCCTAGAAATATCTTGGTTTTAATGTCCTCTAGGGAGAAGTTACACAAAAAGAAAGAAAAAACTCTTTTACACTTCCCAGAAAAAATACCCAGGCTATCTCTGCTCCCAGAACTGTCAGAAACTGCAGTAAAATGTTGATAAACATGTAAGACTGAACCCAAACCCTTCCTTTCAGATCTTATACTTTTCCAGCTCAGAGACATTCCAAACACAGGGCGTGCTTGTGGTCTGGGTCCAAACGGGCCCGCCGAGACGTCGGCTGGACCCGGGGCTGCGTGGTCTGACGGGACCCTTCACCTCTCGGCTAACTGGAGGCGGCCCTGGGCAGCAGGGTCACCCCAGGCAGAAGCCGGCTGGCTCTCAGCCTCCCTCCTGGGCCGCGAGAAGTCCAGCTGCCGATTTCCCAAGCCCGGTGTTCCCATCCGCGACGCCATGTTACGTGGAGCCTCTACTCCTGCTCAGCATTCTGAAAAGCGCCCTGTGCCCGGAGGCCACCAGGTGAGCGCGTTCCCAGCTGTACACGCGTCCAAGCCGTTACAGCAGGTGCTGGGTGCCGGGCGGTGGTGCAGCACCCTGGGCAGTCCCACATCGGAGGCCCCTGGCTCACGTCTGCGGGAGGGGCCTGTGATTCGTGCTGGCTGAGGCTGGAGGGGTGGGGTCAGAGCGAGACCGAGCAGGGGGTCTCTCCCTGCCCTAGCTCTTTCTTTCACTCATGGAAGATAAAATGAAATATTCTACAAAAAATAAGGTGTGACCATCAATGTGATGTTTCCAGGGTTGTGATTTTTCCCCCCACAGGGCACGTGGACTCGCAGGAGTGAAAGACAGACACAGTCAAAAAGGAACATGAGAAATCACCCCCCAGGGGGGATGGTCACGCCGCAATCCCTTCTCCTCCATTCTCCTCTCGGGATCTTGGGCATGCACGCACACGCGCCCGGCATGAGTTTAAACCACCAAGTCTGGGACTCAAACCGCAGTTGGTCATGTGGGAGTCCAATGCCTTAATCGCCATGCCTCCTGCTGGCCCCGTGTTTCCTATTAATTAACTACGCAGCTGGAAAGAGTCCACAGAAACACCCCGAGCCTCCCACCTGCAGCACAGTTACCTCGCCCGAAGGGCCAGGAGAACAGTAAGGATGGTCAGTGACAGTCACCTCATTCTCACAGGACAGCCGCGAACCAAATCCACCCCCGAGCTGGGAACTACAGACCGGATCCCTCCTGAAGCTGCAGGGAGGACACAGAACCCTGCCTCGTCTGGGCTCAAATTCTCCTTGCCTGCTCCCAAACCTGGAACGCTGCCAAGATTCCCAACCTCTCCAATGCTTAATGGCTTCTCCACAAAATGAAGTGGAAGTGTCCCTCCCGTAGGTGTGAGGAGCTGAGGTCGTGCAATGAAGGCACACGCAGGGACTTGCTGCCACAGGGTGGGCTCCATGCGCTGCTGCTGGACGCTAGGCCCCAAGTGCTAGTTTTAGATCGCGGGTGGCTTCGTTCATCCTTTCTTCCCTCTTCACAGCACCCTCCGAGGTACGGGGCTGGGTGGGCGTGTTAGACTGTCCAGTGTCACGGCACTGCTAGCAGTGATGTGGAAAACGGAAACTCTGAACTGGGGTGTGTGAAAGTCGCCCAGCTGTTAAACGCGTGGAAGGGGCAACCATTGCTGTAGGTATTGGCCAGCCTTTTGTCCATTACTTCCCTGAAGTTCGGAAGTCCAGAGCTTAGATAGATCCCAAAAGACACCTGTGATCGGTCTGCAAAAATGAGTTTGCTAGGATCAACAGGCGTCCAGGAAAAATGTCAGGGAGGGTGTCATGTTAGAGGATCATAGTATTTTGTCAGTGTGAACTGTTCCCGGCTCTCCCACTGGCCTTATGATCAGTGATTTCCACCCTGTGAGATGACAGCCTTTTCTCGGGGTAACTGACAGGAATACACTTGAGTGGCGACACAGAATCGGGGATCTAAGGGCCAGGAGAGCTGGCTCTGAAGGCGTGTCTGGCTCATTCGAGAGTCAGTCCTTACTCTCAAAATCAGCCTCACGCCCTTCGGCTTGCCAGTCTTTTAAAATCACTCACACAAATGTGACTTTCAGGGAGAGAGTGAAGGGAGGCCCATTGTGGCTATACTTCTGTTTTCTGTAAAGTTAATTTCTTCCACGAGCAAGAGAAACAGAGACAGAGAGACGGCACCCACCAGGGTCTTGCTGCCGCTATGCACCCCCAGCTCCAGTCGGCCTGGGTCGCGGGCAAGTATGTGCCCAGCACACCAGAGGCGTCTCTGGGCTCACACCCAGAACCCTCCTACATGGCCAGCCCCAGGCAGCCTCACATTTCAGCGCCGTGTCACCATCTGCCCTGGCCAGACTACCTTAAAAGTGAGCGGGGACCAGCAGAGGGTGTAATGTTTACATTGCTGGACTCCCACATTGTCGACAGCGGTTCTAATCTCAGACCCGGCAGCTTAAAACTCACGCCGGGTGCATGTGCGCGCGAGCCCAGAGTCCCGAGAGGAGAATGGAGGAGAAGGGACTGCAGCGTGGACATCCTCCTGGGGGGTGATTTCTTGCTTTTTGTTTCTCTGTCTCTCTGTGACTGCATGTGCCCTATAGCAAACATTTTCCCACCCAAAAAAATAAAAAAATACAAGTAAAAAAATAAAAGTGAGTGTCCAGGACCAGCAGGTGGTGTGGTGGTTAAAGTACTGTATTCCCACATGGCCAACTGCATTTCGAGTCCTGGACCTGGTGGCTTGCTTTCTAACTTTCTCTCTCTCTCTGGTGAGCACCCATGTCCTGAAGCTAATTTAAAAATTACAATCATGATAAATACAAATTATATAAATAATATTTTTAAAAAGGTGACCACCAGACCTGTTGGTTCAGTGGCTCTGACAAACCTACAGTCTGCTGGGATTTTTGGCTTTGTTTTCTTTTTGGCTTTATTTTCTGAAATAATGGAAGCTCTTTGCCACCGTTGCTTCCTCCGCTTGAATGTCAAGAAAACCATTGCAAACACTCAAAACCCCGACTGGTAAGACCTAACTCCAGCCGGACATCTTGTTTGGTTCCAGAGCGTGGAAAATCACATAGCCTGACCGCACATAGCTCGGGGCGGCCGTCTGGGTTGAAAAGTTCAGTGTGATTAACTCCTGACCGCAGAGCCTTGGTCGGGCCATCCGGGGAACTCTTGTTTACTCACTGTAAAGTCATCTGAGGAAGGAGGGCTGGCTCTCAGGTCTTTCCACTAAATCACAGAGACCATCAGCGACTCTGCCCTGTTCTCATTTCAGCCCCGGTCACCGACGATGACCCTCGAATATCCCCACAGCCCCTTTCCCGGCGCAGGTGTTCTTCGGCCCTTCGCCTACCCGCGCCTTTCTCTGCCAGGTAAAGCCGTGGAACATAATTATGCGTTTCTCTGCCTACTCGTCCTCAACGTGGGTATTTACATTGCCGTTTCCATCATGAACATGGACAGGGCGAGGGCCCTGGGAGGGACGCGGAAAACTGTTAGAAGACTCAGGACGTTCGAGAAGCCAGGTGAAGCCTGGAGTTGACAGTGACAGCCGCCAGTGAAAGCGTGAGCCCCCCACCACACATCACAGCGACGCTGCGGAGCAGGCGGCTGCTTCGCTGCGCTCTGTACTCGTGGAGCTGAGCACAGAGAGGTCAGGCAACCGGCCCCGGTCCACACAGCTGGGGAGACGCCGAGCCCAGGCTACAACGGGCATCCTCTCCCCATCACAACACCTGCAGCCTCGACCTGGGGGGCTCCGCGCCCGCCGTCCCCGGAACCAATCCGGTCCGCTCGCTCCACGCTCGCTCATCGCGTGCTCACTGGGCGGCACCTCTTCACCGCAGGGCAGCGCGAGGCCAGCGCCGGGCAGGACGGGCTGCCCTGAGAGCGGTGGGACTGGGGTGCGGGCGGGCAGAGACGGTCCCTAAGAACTAGCACAGAAGCTGGGCACACAGGTCGGCCGGGCGCTGACCAAGCGGGGACAGAGACCCACGTGGCGGGACGGCAGCGGCTCCCGGGGCTCCCAGCAGAGGGCGCTCCAGAGTGTCCTTGCTGAGGACGGGTCGGGACTCCAGCAAGAGGCACACAGAAGGCCCCGGGCGCGCGGCGGAGCCCTGGGTGGGGGTAGCCGAGCAGTTGCCGGTTGCCCGGGAGCCGCAGGCACGTACCTTGCAGTCACAGCTGATGAGCTTCCCGCACTCCTCGCAGGTGCTGGCGAAGAGGGCGTCGAAGCAGGCCACGCAGTAGGGGCTGTCCTCCCGCAGGACGTACTTCTTGCCGAAGAGGGACTCGGCGCAGTGGTGGCAGTCGAAGCGCTCGGTCATCTTGACACCTGCGTCAGCGACCTGTCACAGAGAAGCCAGTTCCCAGTCAGCAGTCTCCCAACGCCACACCTACAGAGGCGTTACTGTGCAGCGTCCTCAGCCGAGAGGCAGCCATTTCCTCCGGGTGAATCATGGAAACCCGCCCGGAAGGGTAATGACCCTCAGCGGTACACTCCCCCCCATCCAGGGCAGTTCTGTGTTTGGATGCATTGCATTTCTTTATAAGCACCAATCATTATTTTTTAACTTAATTTTTTTAAGAAAGATTTTTGCAACAGGATGCATGCACTTGCCAGAAAGACAGTGAGACAGAAAGAGAGGAATCACTCCCCACCCCACGGGGGCATGGTCACACCGCAATCCCTTCTCCTCCATTCTCCTCTCAGGATTTTGGGCACGCACACACATGCGCCTGGCGTGAACCTTAAGCCCCTGGGTTTGGGACTCGAACCGCAGTCGATTACGTGGGAGTCTAGCGACGAAACCGTTACGCCATCTGCTGGTCCCATAAGCACCAGTCATTGATGTCCGTGTCCACAAGCGACTGGAATTCTGGATGCAGATAAGAGTCGGCTTCAGCTTGCCCTGTCTGGCCTGGTGTGCTCGGAAGTGTGGCTGAGCCTCGCACCCCCGTCCTCTGTGCCCAGAGTACAAGGCAGGCATAGCAACCACGCGTCCGGGTCTGTGAAGAGCTTCCACGAGCCCTCCATTGTGCTCCACGGGTGTGACCTGGAGGAAGCTCAGCGCCAGCAGGGACGTCTGCAGGGGGTGTGAGGCAGAGGGGGCGTCAGCGACTCCACGTCGCAGTGGGAAGGGCACGCTGACTGCCCACGAGAGAAACGGCCAGCTCCTTCAGGCCGGTCAGTTCTCCCAGGTGAGACGATCATCCTGCCCCTGCGAGGTGCGATGAGAGCAGGCCAAGGGGAAAGCTGGCTTCCAGGGACAGGGACTAGCGGTCAGAGACGCGGTGGCTCCAGCCGGCGACTGCGGGCAGCACCTCGAGAAACAGGGGTCTCCACGCCTCACCGCGTGTGAGCAGAGGGTGGGCTGGGGATAGGAGGGGTGGGGGTGTCTTCCATCTTTCCTCTCCTCCTGGAACTGTTTCTGTAAGAACATGAGGGGTGGCAGCAGGTGGCATGGTGATTAAGGTCTACAGCCGACTGCAGTTCAAGTCCCAAGCCTGGCGGCTTGAAAATCTCACTGGGCATGTGTGCATGCCCCAAATCCCAGGACGGGAATGGAGGAGGAGGGACTGCAGTGTGGCCATCCCTGCCCAGGGTGATTTCTCACTGTCTCTCTCTGTCTCGCTTCCCTCAGAGAGTTGGATGTTCCTCATGGCAAAAACCTAAAAACAAAAGAAAGCCAAAAAACGGAAACAAACAAAAAATGGGAGAGGGCCAGCCGTGGCGGCACAGTGAGAACGCGGCAGTGATGCTGAGCTCACAGGAGAGGCCCCGAGTCCTGCTCCACGCCCTCCCTGTGTGCGCTGGGCACACAGTGCCCGTGACCCTGGCTGGCGGAGGCCGGGTGGGGTGCTCTCGCTCCCTGAATGAATGAATAAATAAATGAATAAATGAATAAACCTAATAAAATAAAATAATATAAACACCAAAGAATAAATCTAGAAAAAAAATCCTACTATGGGAACACTTGGTGTGGAGAAACACCTCCAGGTCATTAAAAACAGTTGATTTTCTTAAGTGAATTATTTAATTTGCTAAACTGAAAAGTTTTATTGCTTGTTAAATAGGTTCAGTGGTTGGCTAGGTAACTGAGCAATGTTTTTGTAAACTCTAAGCAAACTCATTTCAATTTTCAGTCATTTCAAACCATTTGAGAGTGAAAGTCCCAGAACCGGACCTTCTGATGCAGATAAAATGTTGCAGCCTGCTTTCTGATGACAGCAGACTTGATCCTGTTTATTCCTTTTGTAGGGTTGTGTACACAAGGTCCTTACAACTGTGAGCAAAGACGTGGACATTGTTCAAGCATCCGTGCTCGGTCATTCCTGTGTTTATAGCATCCGTGCTCGGTCATTCCTGTGTTTATAGACCAATTTTCTTCCGGGAGCATTAAACTTGCAGCTGGACACACGTGGCAGGCTCCATCCTTCCGATTTGCTCTTCCCGGAGTTCAGGAACGCACTGGACATTCTCATGGTAACATCTTAAAATGAGGCTCTTGAGCATCTGAATTGTTACTCGGAAGCCCCCCGTGTAAATATCCTTCGTACCGAGGCCATCCCAGAGTGCAGCAGCTATCCGGCAGAGGCCGATGCTTCCCTGCAGGTCGCCGCTCACCAGCCCTGAGTGCGGCTGTCGTGGCTTTCTCCAGCACCAGACTGTCCCAATCAAGGCTGCTGAGACGAGCTGCGTGCTGCCTGCTCTGTCCTCACAAATGTAAGGATGACGATTGGGAACGTGAGAGATGAACAACGTAAGGACAGAGAGCCATGAATCACGGGATGTGAAAAGCTGGAAACAACTCCTGAACGTATCTACAACTACCTGATTTTACGGAAAAGCCGAAACCCAGGAATATTAATGGAAAAAGAGGACTCATGTGAGCATTCCCAAATTGCCACTTAACTCAGAGAAAACGAACCCTCGCTCCCCGTCGGAAGGTGGATCCACGTGGGACCTGGCGGCCAGATGGTGCTGCCGCCACGCACGTTCAGAAGGTCCAGCTGGGACCGGGCCTTGGCCTGTGGCCGGTGCCCATCCTGTAGGGCTGGTTCTGCTGCGGCAGGCCCCCGCCCTGCTCCACTTCTGTGAGAGGGTCCACATGGCCACTGCCATGACAGGCTGAGCATTTCTGCTCCAACGGGGCAGGGCGGGAAATGAACCACCCATCCTAATTAGGACCCCCACAGGCGGCATGTGATCTCGTATGTCCCCGACTAAGGGTTTTTTTAAAAATACTTATTTAATTAAATTAATTTTAATTTGACCAGAGAGGGACAGAGTGAGAGAGAGAGAGGGAAAGGCAAGCCACCAGGTCCAGGACTCGAACCGTGGTCAGCCATGTGGCAGTTCAGCACCCTTAACTACCATGCCACCTGCCAGCCCCTAAGGATTTTCAAAGACTTATAGGAAGCACAGACCCTGAAGTCCAAATGTGCAGTTCACCTGTAATGAGAAAGCTCAGAGCCTCCCTTTCATCTCACACTGTGCGAAACCAATTATTCCTGTCCTGATTCCATGCTACCAGACAGGACATATTTATCTTTTTTTTTTTTTTTTGAGAGGTTTTTGCTATAGGGCGTATGCGCTCGCCAGACAGACAGAGAGAGACATAGAGACAGAAAGCGAGAAATCACCCCCCAGGGGGGATCGTCACGCCGCAATCCCTTCTCCTCCGTTCTCCTCTCAGGATCTTGGGCATGCACGCACACGTGCCCGGCGTGAGTTTTAAGCCACTGGGTCCGGGACTCGAACCGCGGTCGACTATGTGGGAGTCCAGCGACAGCCATTACGCTAACTGCTGGTTCCCCAGACAGGACATATTTAAGTGTGTAAAGTCACACTATCAGGGGCCAGATGGTGGAGCTGTGGGAAAGCGCAAGGCTCCGCCCACCCACATGGGAAGGTTCTGGGTTAGTGTCTAGAGACCTCCCTGTGCATGTGCAGGATCCGGGGAGGGCTTCAGCTGGGGCTGGATCATGGATGGAGTCAAGACCTCACTGGGGATGCTATCTCTCCCCCTTGTTTCTCTCTCTCACTGTGGAAGAAATAAACTCAAGAAGAGTCACGTTATCAATCTTAGGTCTCTTTTTTTTGGAGAGGTTTTTGCTATAGGGCGCGTGCGCTCGCCAGACAGACAGAGAGAGACAGAGAGAGAAAGCAAAAAATCACCCCCCAGGGGGGGATGGCCATGCCACAATCCCTTCTCCTCTCGGGATCTTGGGCACGCACGCACACGCGCCCAGCTTGAGTTTAAGCCACCGGGTCCAGGACTTGAACCACGGTCGACTACATGAGAGTCCAGTGACATAGTCATTATGCCAAATGCTGGCCCCCAATCTAAAGTTTCTTTAATGGGAAAGTTATGCAGTCGCGTGTGGCTCAATGATGAGGATGTGATCTGTGATACTGGCATCAGGAGATCTCACCGCTGAGTGAGCAGCAGAGTCGCTTACACCAGCCACGGTGGTGACATGGTGTCATCTGAGGGGACCGCTGTTGTACCTGCAGTTGTCCCAGACTGAAATGTCGGCAGGCAGTGCATGACTGCCCATCAGCCTGGTGTTAGAAGCCCCACCACTCCACACTTCCGCACTGTAACGGCCCCGATTACTCACTCACTCCTGCAGCCAGCCAAGCCAGGGCTGCACTGGAGCTGTGTTGGACACTGTGCCGAGTGCCAAGGCACAGAGGGGCACGGCGCAGGCCCCGCCCCGGGGGCGTCTGCAGGCTATGTGGAAGAGGGGTGCCCAGTGAGGGGATGACGCAGCTCCCCCAGGCATGGTGGAGATGCACAGGCTGTGGGCCCCCGGAGATAGCAGGGCAGGCTTCCTGGAGGAGCTGCTGGCAAAGGGTCAAGTGAGGCTGCAGGTCTGGGCAGAGCAAGCAAAGCCATGGAGGTGGGACCCCTGCAGTCCGAGCAGACTCCCCGGGAAACAGAAGATCCAGGTGGCAGGGGTCACAGCCGTGAGGCCAGAAGGACAGTCCACGGCCAGGCAAGGGGGGCCCGTGTGCCTCACACCTCATGGGCCCGGATGTGCCCCGTGGGCGGTGGAGATTTCACACTCTCTTCTGCAGCCCGACAGCACTGTGGAACCCAGGCAGGGCCCACGGAAGCTGCTGCGGGGCAGCC